ATCGTCTGTCTGTCAGTTAAGCAGTCTGCCTGTATATGTACATATTATTTTTTTTTGGCTGGTTTTTTTTTTTTTTCTTTTCTTCGGCGTCTATCTGATGGTGCGAGCGTGTTTTACGCGTTTACAACATGGCTGAAATATTTGTGCATTTCGGCCGACATATCCGACATCTGCAGGTACTGTTTACTCGGTTTTGCCTTCCCGGTTACATATATTCAACTTCTACTAGCGTCTATGTACCCATGTTTGTCTATCAGCCTGGTGGGCGGCCTGTATCTGAACACATAATTCAACTTCTACCAGAGCCCATAGAGTGTACCGACCTTTGTCTATCAGCCTGGCGGGCGGCCTGTATATGAACACATAATTCAACTTCTACCAGAGCCCATAGAGTGTACCGGCTAGACTCTCGTTTGCGGATCCGAAGTCGAGGGTTCAAGTCTGACGGCACTGGACTGTTTCAAAAATGACCTTGGCTTCTACGACTGTCCAGCCTTTTCACGCCACTAACAAATGTTTTCTCTTCTTCACAGATCAGTAGGTACACTAAGTGTGACGCAGTCAACGTCATTCTGGCCGCCTTTACTTCCCAAAATATTTCTTCTTGGTTATTTTAGGCTGTACCGACCTTGCAACTTGAGTCAACATTAAATATTCGAGGATGAGAACCCAAGATTTTCAGGTCTGATTAGTCAGCTTTTATCAGTCTAATAAATCAGCAATTCAATAACCCCTATTGGGTTATTAGACCCCATTTGTGGGTGAATGGGGGGTGGGGGTAGGGTGAGTCTAGGTTGTATGCATAATCAATCAATCAATCAGGTGCCGTCTCCACAATGAAGGTTGGCTGCAATGGATCTCTTGCCCTTGATGTACACTCACTCAAACTGCTGTTTATCCATCTCTTGATGTTATCCTCCCACTTGTAAAGCTGTCTGCCTTTTGCTCGCCTACGTGAACCTTTCCCTCTAGGATCCGGGACGTATAATCAGATATCTGTAAATATATGGTGTATGTTTAATGACTTTAGACGTTTTGAAATCAGTTATCTTCTCACCTTAACTAATCTGCGTGTCATGTTTTAAGAAGAATTAAATTATTAGTCTGTGAATTAAATTATAAGTCTGTGAATTAAATTATAAGTCTGTGTTAACTTTTGCATTGGAACTGACAGACGTGTCTCTTGTTTGTAGCTGACAACTGTACTCTGGAGGCTGAACCAGGTTTTTGCTTTGGGAATTTCCCGCGCTACTTCTACAACATTGCCACTGCCCAATGTGAGCAGTTCATCTATGGTGGTTGTCAAGGCAACGGTAACAACTTCGAGCTACTTGAAGAGTGCCAGGCTTTCTGTGTCTAACGTCTTCCAGATTCTTCACCATCCGCAACCGAAATCAGGACTGCAAGACAGAATTTCTGCAATAAAAGTACCGGCACTATGTGACGATATCAATGATTAGTCAACTCGGTTGCAATCATGGGGAAATTGTTTGGTGAAATAAATAGATACAGGTTTATATGACTTTTCTTTGTGTCTTTGAAATGTGGAAGATTATGTGTGCCCCTGGAAGCAGGGGCTGGGGAGAGAGAGAGAGAGAGAGAGAGAGAGAGAGAGAGAGAGAGAGAGAGAGAGAGAGGGGGGGGGGCAGGGGCAGATAGAATGAGAGAGACGACTGTGGTTAAGACGGACCTGCATCACACCACTATCCCTTTCACCAACAATTAAAAGGGATAGACAAAAGATAGAAGACCTCGGCTCTTAATCACAGATCTAACCATCAGGAAAGAGCCATCTGTTAGTTACCTATATGCAATGATCTTCCTAGTTCAACAACTCAGGAATTTAGAATTTGAGAAACACCAGTCCAAGGTTAGTGTTAGGTAACAAAATAACGTACAAACCAAACGACAAAGTGACGCAGTCAGGTTAACAACAACAGTCAATAAATGTGCCCAAGAGCACATCACTCCTGCCTCTACTTCATACACTAGTTGTTGACCATGCTTTCAGAAACTTCTTTGGGTTGCTCCATTCAGTGTCACGGATGGTAGTCTAGCTGTCTATAATGATATTGGAATGGCACTGTATGGCAATGCCGAGTAAATAGTCAGTAAGTTGCCGACCATGTTTCCAGGAACTTCTCTGGATTTCTCCATTCAGTGTAACAGATGGTGACCTAGTTGTCTATAATGATATCCGTACGGCACCTTATGGCAATGCCGGGTAAATAGTAAGTGGTCGACCATGCGTCTAGGAACTTCTCTGGGCTGTTCCATTCATGTCTTGCAATCTCCTTGCATCTCGAAGAATTACCGCACCCAAGACATCTTCAGTCAATCAACCCGGTAACACCTCTGCAATGAATATTGACGGCAATTAGTCTTTAACATTGCCTGCCTCTTGTCTTTGTTGTACACTCTCTCATACTGCTGATTGTCATTCTCTTGATTTTGTCCCCCCCCCCCCCCCCACTTGTATCATTATCTGCATGTTGCTGTCTTGCCTTCGAGTTTCTCCCAAGTGTGGCTTTAAAGGAGTTTTATGTCTTTTAATGTGGCTGAAATATTTCAATTGCTGTGTGTATATGTGTGTTTTGTTATGTTTTAAATTATTTCTTGCAGTAACCTTATTTTCATTCGCAATCTCCTCTCCCTCCCCCTCCCCCTCCCCCCCCCCCCCCCCCCATCCTCAGAACATCTATGGTTTTTGCTTCCATGAAATACGATCTATTCTTCTGTATACCCATAGCTTGGTCTGAAATTGCATAAAGGAAAGACAAAGATAATGAGAATAAATCAGGCAAATAGTAATGTGGTTTCTCTTAATGGCACCCCACTCCAAGACGTGGAGTCGTACACTTATTTAGGCAGTTATGTTGATAAATATGGAGGAACTGATAGAGATATTAAAATAAGAATACAAAAGGCAAGAGGGGCTTTCATAACACTAGGGAATTTGTGGAGGTCAAAAGAAATTAAAAGAAATACTAAACTAAAAATTTTTAATTCTAATGTCAAATCAGTACTATTGTATGGGGCGGAAACACGGAAAACAACCAAGGCAATTACTAATAAATTACAGACATTCATTAACTGGTGCCTGCGCAGAATAGAGGGAATAAAATGGTATGATAGAATAACTTATGTAGAACTTTGGGAGAGAACTAAACAAGCTCCAGTGAATCAGGAGGTGAGGAAAAGACGCTGGCGTTGGATAGGGCACACACTGAGAAAACAAGAGAACAGCATAACTAGAATGTCTTTGCATTGGAACCCACAGGGGCATAGGAATAAAGGAGGGCCAAAAAACACATGGAGAAGAAAGCTGGAGAATGAGGTTAGAAAGATTGGGAGGACATGGGGAGAGCTCCATGTAATGGCAAAGGATAGAACGACTTGGCGTGAGTTGGTTGAGGGCCTATGCTCCATTGGGGGATAGAAAGGCAGAAGACGAAGAAGACCCATGTTTTAATCCCAGAGACTGAGCTAGATTTTTGAGTTGCCAGTTCATTGCTCAGGCTGCTGCAATAACTAACAGGTTGAGGCTACTTTACATTTGACGACTTTGATCTTCAATGTGTCGTTCTTCGCATTCTCGTAATAACATGAACACTGGACTGAGTCGTCACAAATTCAAAATTCCCAGGTAGTTGCGCGAGGAGAAATATTGCATATATGTAGCTTGTTATATAGTTATTTTAATTATGGAATGTGTGAGTTGAGTTGAGTCAAGAATTTTACATCACAACACTCTGGGCATTCCCATGCGCACACCGTCCTCATCTTCAGCAGCCAGTGCAGAGATCCAATACTAATGGTACCGGTCACAATCCGGTTATATGTTCTGTCTTGCCTTTCCTTTGAGTTTAGTGAGCCGGCCAGACCCTCTGGTTACACTCGGCTGCATCGTTCTCTCCAGGCCATAATAATCTTGATTCTCTTATGACTTCGTTACATGTTTCCAAAGGGCCTTCACCACATATGTCTTGTCAATTTAACACCCAGTGGGGCAGATACAGCAAATACGTCTGTCTGTTCATTCCCCTCCACGCCGGCATAGCCTAGAGAAAAGGTCCTAAGTATGCTCACCACCTGTGACCTTTCCCTTGAAGTTTGCCACTCTGCAGTTGGGGTTTTCCCTTCACTGAGTCTTGAGACCAGAATGGCATTTCCCAAAACTCTCCAGTATTTTCAGAGGACTCCTGGTAGCATGGTCGGCAATTTACTGACGATTTACCCGGCATTACCATAAGGTGCCGTACCGATATCATTATAGACAACTAGGTCATCACCCGTGACACTGAATGGAGCAAACCAGAGAAGTTCCTGGAAGCATGGTCCACAACTAGTGTATGAAGTAGAGGCAGGAGTGATGTGCTCTTGGACACATTTATTGACTGATGTTGTTAACCTGACTGCATCACTCAGTCGCTTGGTTTGTAGGTTATATTGTTACCTAACACTAACCTTGGACTGGTGTTTCTCAAATTCAAAATTATTGAGTTGTTGAACTAGGAAGATCATTGTATATAGGTAACTAACAGATGGCTCTTTCCAGATGGCTCTATCTGTAATTAAGAGCCGAGGTCTTCTATCTTTTGTCTATCCCTTTTAATTTTTGGCAAAATGGATAGTGTTGTGATGCGTGTCTGTCTTAACCACAGTCGCCTCTAGCACTTTAATTTATTCTCTCTCTCTCTCTCTCTCTCTCTCTCTCTCTCTCTCTCTCTCACTCTCTCTGTCTCTCTCCGCTCCCCCCCCCCTTTTTTTTTTGCCCCTGCTTCCAGGCGCAAATATAATCTGCCACATTTCAAAGACACAAAGAAAAGTCTTATAAACCTGAATATATTTATTTCACCAAACAATTTCCCCACGATTGCAACCGAGTTAACTAATCATTGATATCGTCACATATTGCAGGTACTTTTAATTGCAGAAATTATGTTTTGAAGTCCTGATTTCGGTTGCGGATGGTGAAAAATCTGGAAGACGTTAGACACAGAAAGCCTGGCACTCTTCAAGTAGCTCGAAGTTGTTACCGTTGCCTTGACAACCGCCAAAAATGAACTGCTCACATTGGGCAGTTGCAATGTTGTAGAAGTAACGCGGAAAATTACCCCTGCATATACCTGATTCAGCCTCCAGAGTACAGTTGTCAGCTGCAAACAAGAAACACATCTGTCAGTTTCAATGCAAACGTTACCACAGACTTATAATTTAATTCACAGACCTATAATTTAATTCTTCTTGAAACATGACACGCAGATTAGTTAGGGTGAGCAGATAACTGATTTCATAAAGTCTAAAGTCATTAAACATACACCATATGTTTACAGTCGTCTCTCGCAGCTTAATTCATTCTTTCTCTTTCTCTGTCTCTTTCATAAAGTCTAAAGTCATTAAACATACACCATATATTTACAGTCGTCTCTCGCAGCTTAATTCATTCTTTCTCTTTCTCTGTCTCTTTCATAAAGTCTAAAGTCATTAAACATACACCATATATTTACAGTCGTCTCTCGCAGCTTAATTCATTCTCTCTCTCTCTCTCTCTCTCTCTCTCTCTCTCTCTCTCTCTCTCTCTCTCTCCCAACCCCCTTCCCCTTTAGCCCCTACTAGTATGCTGCTTAGTCTGTTAAACAAATATTGGTGTAGAAAAGAACATTATGTTAGTGATGTGAAAAGGCTGGGTAGACCTGGGAGCCAAAGTCATTGTTTGAAACAGTCCAGCGCTGCCAGACTTGAACCTTGGACCTTCGGATCCGCAGACAAGAGTCTAGCCAGTATAGGCTCTGATAGAATTGTGTTCGTATACAGGCAGCCCACCAGGCTGATAGACCAACATGGATACATGGACGCTAGTAGAAGTTGAATATATGGCAAAACCGAGTAAACAGTACCTGCAGATGTCGGCCGAAATGCACAAATATTTCAGCCATGTTGTAAACGCGCAAAACACGCTTACACCATCGGATAGACGACGAAGAAAAAACAAGGCGAAAAAAATAATATGTACATATACAGGCAGACTGCTTAACTGACAGACAGACGATTCTGCACTTTCAGTGTCCAGTGACAAAATGTACAGTTACATGGAAAGGTCCAGTGACGTAAAGTGGCGAAAAAATGTGCGGTGGTAGAATGTGAAGACAGATGTCTAGTTGTGAAATATAAAGAGAGTGGTCCAGTAATCGAAAGTGACGAGAAAGGCCCAGTAATAGAATATAATAAGAAATGTCCAGTTACGAACATGACGTGAAATGTACAGTAACACAACATGACGATAAAGGTCCAGTAATAGAATATGACGAGAAATGTCCAGTAACAGAACATGACGTGAAATGTACAGTAACACAACATGACGATAAAGGTCCAGTAATAGAGTATGACGAGAAATGTCCAGTAATACAATGTAACGAGAGTGTCTTGTAATAGAATATGACGAGAAAGGTCCAGTAATAGAATGTGACGAGAAATATCCAGTACAATAATGTGACGAGAAAGGTCCAGTACAATAATATGACGAGAAATGTCCATATGTACGTAGTGAAACTTACGAAGTGCGGTGGACATCTGGATGGCGACCATTCCGAGGAGGAAGCAGACGACGAGTGCGGAGTTCATGGTTTCTGGACAACGGTAAAGTCTGGGAGACTGGACACTGGTGATACTTGCAAGGCTGGGTGTCTGTCCCTTGCCGTGGTCTTCCTTATATAGGCGGGTACAGGAATATGGGCGTGTCGGCTTGTGGTGGGTGCATTTGTTGCCATTACTCTCAGAGCTAGGTACTTGTGGAGAGCAAGCAGCAGGTTGTGCAGGAGAGTAACTGCCTGGAGTGTTTAGTAAACAGTTGTGTACCATCTGATGTTAGTTGGCAAGGGGAGTAAGAATGTTCAAGCGGCAGTCATTGGTACTTAATATTTATGATGTTTGGTAATCTAATGGTCCAAGCTTTCGTCACTTGTGATAATGGCTGTTTGGTGTTTGAATGTTAGTGGCATTGTTCCTGCTGAGTCTAGTTAGATGATATAATCAATGTTACATTGATCGTCTTTACTTCCCTGAACAATTCCTGGTACCCTTGTCTATCGGGGTCCACTTGAAAACTAAATTCGGTTTCTGCAACGGTAGTATCAGTCATCATCATCATTATCATTATAAACCACTTCTGCCGTTAAGCGACGTGGGGAGGAATAATTTGTGATCCAGTGCACGTTGGCTGCCACTGGCTATTGCCATGCCGTGAAGGCGTAGAGTGTCTTTAATGTTGTCGATCTATGTTTTCCGTGGCCGTCCTCTTGCTCTTGTAGTTGATCTTCTGAGATGTACTGCTTGTGATGGTATTCGATCTTGCTGCGTTCTAACGAATGCAGTATCAGTACTGAACACAATAAAATACTATTGAACCCATCCCGAGTTATAAGTAAAACATGTAGATTTGTTTTCTCTATTTCATTAATGAAATTTGTGTCTGTCAATTACGTTCTGACCATAGACCTGTAGTACTTTGGCTCTATAAACCAACAAGAATTTGCACTGATAAAACACCACAGCTAATGGATCAGATAGCCATAGAGAAACTAAAAGACAAAGATGTGGCAATTCAAGTTGAGGAAACAGTTAAAAACACCTTCAGTACTCTAGAGAAAGGAAATGACATAGAAGAAGAGTGGCAAATTTTTAAAACCTGCATCCTGAATGTAATGACAGAAAAGTGCGGACTCCGAAAGCCAAGAAGGCACATGAAAACAAACAGCATTGTGGAATGAAGAAGTTAAAATTCTATCAAAGAAAAGAAAGAAATATTTTCATCAGTGGCAAAAAGTCAAAATTAGATGAGGACTACATCAAATATAGAAAAGCAAGAGCAAAGAGCAAGAGGAAAGTAAATTCGGCGAAATCAGAATCATGGGCAAACTACGGAGAACAATTAGCAAGGCTATGCACTGATTCACCAGGTCAGTTCTACCGAAGCATCAAGGCTATGAGACTGAGAGAAGAGAAATTTAACCCATCAAAGATCATAAACAGCGAGGCTAAAAAACCACTCACCAAATCCCAAGATGTTAAATGAAGATGGCAAGAATATTTTTCTGAATTACTGAATAGTGGACCACAAGAACCAGTGTCTAATAAAATAAAATTTGGACAAGAACAAGAACCTAATATATTAGAATCTGAAGTTGAAAAGATCCTAGAGCAAAGCAAAAGAAACAAAGCGGCCGGAACCGATGGTATTACAACAGACATAATACTTGCATGTAAAGCAACAGCAGTAAAATGGCTGACAAGAATATTCAATATGGCCTGGGAGGAAATGAAAGTTCCCGTTGACTGGCAGAGAGCAATTATAGTTCCCATATGGAAGAAGAAAAGGTGATAAACGAGATTGTGAAACATACAGAGGTATCTCTTTACAATGCCGTGTAGGAAAGATATTTGCACAAATAATAGAACGAAGAGCGAGAGTGATATTAGAACCTCAATTAAGTAACAACCAGTTTGGATTTAGAAAAGGAAAGAGCTGCACTGATGCAATATTTACTCTTCGGCAAATTTGTGAACAGACAATCGAATATAATAAACACCAGAATCTTTTATTCATTGATCAAGAGAAGGCCTTTGACAGGGTTAACAGAAATAAACTATGGAACATTCTTGAAGAATATGGTGTACCGGGTCAATTATTGGGAAACATAATGGCTCTCTATCAAAATAGCCAGAGCGCTGTAAGAACAAGAAGGTATGACAGACTGGTTCCCCATTACATCAGGAGTACGACAAGGATGTGTCCTATCACCCCTACTCTTCATCACATATATGGATAAAATTGCACGGGAGTCAAACCAAAACACAGATATTATAAATGAACTTCTCTTTGCAGATGACCAATGTTTGTTACAAGAAGAAGAACAAAAACTACAACAACATGTGGATTCATTGTTCACTAACTGTACAAAATTTGACATGAAAATAAACACCTCAAAAACTGAAGTAATGACCATAGGAAAGAAACACAGTAATGTAAGCATAAAGATCAATGACATACAATTAGAACAAGTTCAAGCATTCAAGTACTTAGGATGCATATTTACAGAACATGGAAGACTCGATAAAGAGATACAGGCTAGAGTTCAAAAAGCCAATGCAGTCAACTACCAACTGGCCCCACTTCTTCGTCATCCAAAGATCTCGTTACCAGCCAAACAACGGATGATCAACAGCATTTTCATCCCTACGTTATGTTATCAGTGCCAAACGTGGACAATGAACAAATCACATATGCAAAAAATAACCACGTGTGAAATGCGATGTCTCCGAAGAGTCACCAACAATACACGAAGAGACAGAGTCACAAACGTCAGCATTAGAGACAAAGTTGGAACAAGAGCATGCATGGAACATATTGAAAGACAGAGAACGAAGTGGTTTGGTCATTTAGTAAGAATGCAACGGGATCAGATTGCCTATAAGGCCTTTTACAGTAGAACATCGGGAAGAAAGGCCAGAGGAAGACCCAGGAAAAAATGGATAGATGGAGTAGCTGAATACGGCCAGAAGATCCAGAAAACTGTCACTCAAATCACGCGAGAGGCACAAAACAAATATTTTAAACCACGACACTGGGCTGCAACCCGGTAAAAGTGAAGAAGACAATAGATAGATAGAAAGAATTACGTTTGTTATTCAATAATACATAGCTAATGTAGATTGTAGGAGCTGAGTATGCATTGTCAAGTTTAGTAGATTTTAACAGTACTTTCAAACAATTCTCGTAATAACGTGTAAAACATTACATAACATGTTTAACCCACACAGCATTTATTATTCTGCCGTCAAATCACTGGTGAATTTGATCAGTTTCATGAGTCCTTTGATTCGAATTATCGTTATCATCAAGTGCTGTGCCGAACAGCCTGCGCGATCACGTCTCTCTTCAACTTGCGATCTGCAACAGTCTGATCCTATGCAGCATCTATCAGTTGGGCTGCTGACACTCCTCTATGCAATGACAAAACAATTACAACAATTATTTGTGCTGTTCAACTTTGCGGATGTCTAAGTAAAGGACCCTTTTCCACGCCTTTGGGCGTATAGGGCATATAGGGCGAGACCTATATTTTTATAGACCCATCGGCACAAGATGGGTGATGTGGTCAGCATTACGCCGTCTATGT